GAGGAGAGTGGAAAAGCTGGCTTAAAACTCAACATTCAAAAAACTAAGATCATGTTCTGGTAGTTCAATACTCCCACGGTCACAAGACCATAAGTGTCAGCATGTATACTCAAATACAGATCTGTCTGGCTCTAAAATTTGTGCATTTTCTCCTGTAACCAAGAACATTATCTGTTTTCTAAGTTGACATGCTTAATTACTGCATCCTACCTAACTGTAATATATGGATAATTAAAGAATATTAAAGGAGAGAAATGGCACCAAAATGACAGTGTGAACACTGGTCAGAATGGCCATCATTTAAAAGTCTACAAATAACAAATGCTGGAGAGGGTGTGGAGAAAAGAAACCCTCCTACACTGCTGTTGGGAATGTAAGTTGGTGCAGCCACCATGGAAAACAGTATGGGGGTTCCTCAAAAAACTAAAAATAGAGTTTCCATATGATCCAGAAATCTCACTCCTGGGCAAAAATCTGGACAAAACTATAATTCAAAAAGATACAAGGACTCCTAAGTTCATAGCAGCACTATTCATTTACAATAGCCAAGACATGAAAACAACCTAAATGTCCATCAACAGAGGGACACATAAAGAAGATGTGGTACAGGTACAGAATGAAACATTACTCAGCCATAAAAAAGAATGATATACTGCTATTTGCAACAACATGGATGGAACTAGACATTATCATACTAAATGAAATCAGATGTGGAAGTCACTTATAGGATATCACTTACATGTGGAGTCTAAAATATGATACAACTGAACTCATTTACAAAACAGACTCATATATATAGAAAATAAACATAGTTGCCAAGGGTGTGGTTAGAGGTTAGCAGATGCAAACTATTATACATGGAGCGGATAAACAATGTCCTACTGTATAGCACAGGGAACTATATCCAATATTCTGTAATAAATCAGAATGGAAAAGAATATAAAAAGGAATGTTTAATGGATTCATTTTTCTGCACAGTAGAAATTAACACAACATTGTAAATCAACTATATCTCAATAAAAACAAGAGCTTATTGACAGCATAATGTTACATGTTTGGACTTCTCTCCAGCACCTTTCACAGTTTTTTAGTGTACAATGTTTGTTCATTAAGTAGTTAAATGTATGAGTACTGGCAGACTGAATTATCTGTGAGGGTGATAAAAGAAAAGGCATTTACTTAAAAAGAAGACTGAAATGATATGAAAGGTATGAAAAGTAAGTGTCCGACCCTTTGCGATCCCATGGATAGAAGTCCACCAGGCTCCTCTGTCCATGGAATTCTAGGCAAGAATACTGGAGTGGGTCGCCATTTCCTTCTCCAAGAGATCTTCCCAACCCAGGAATCAAATCCGGGTTTCCTGAATTGCAGGCAGATTCTTTACCCTCTGAAGTGAGGTATAGGCAAATGCAGATGAAAAGAAGAACAGTGGATAACAAGTATCATTTGAACTAGATTCCGAGCAAGGTAGTATCAAGGTAATTTTCTTGAGAGAAAGAAAGAAGAATGAAAGTTGCAAACAGATGTGTGAAATATCGAAATAATGAGGTAATGACTTTTATATTGGCCTCAACTTTATTAGCTTAGTGTGAGTCTAGGACTCCACACAAATATGAAAACACATGAGAAATTGAAGATTATTCAAATAAGAGTCCCAAGTATTTAAACATGAAAGAATTTCACCATTAGAAATCTTTACAAATGGAAGATAATTTTTCTAAAGATTGCTTGCATGCATGCATGTTAAGTCACTTCATCTGTATCTAACTCTTTGCGAACCCATGAATAGTAGCCCACTAGGCGCCTCTGTCTATGGAATTCTCCAGGCAAGAATACTGGGGTAGCCATGGCCTCCTCCAGAGGATCTTCCTGACCTAAGGATCGAATCAGCATCCCTCAAGTTTCTTGCATTGGCTGGTGAGTTCTTTACTACTAGAGTCCCCTGGAAAGCTCCAAAGATTGTTTAGGTTCCACCTTTCCGAGTTAGCAGAGGTACAAGCAATTACTAAATGTGCCTTTCAGATGAACAACAAATAGGGAAAATTGCACTGGGGAATCTGTATTTGATACAAGTAGAACACTTTAGATAGAAGGTGATTTATTATGGAATTAAGCATTCAAGAAAAGTTGTGGAGTTGTCTTCAATCAAACTTTAAAAATAAGGTAAATACTGATCCATCTTAAATGATGTCAGCTCTGTGCCTCAAATTCTTTAGATAATTTCCTTGTCCTTAGATTCTGTTCTATTTTTAGAGAAATATTCTATTTCTAGTTCTATTCTGTTCATCTTAGGGTGACTGTCAGAACTGGGTGGGAGATGCTCTTAAAGTTAGAAGACCTTGAAATCATACCTGACTTATCACCTCATGTCTTAACTGACAATTTATGGCTAAATTCAAAACTATATGCTTAGCATTACAAAAGCTTACCCTTGTTGTATCAGACGTATTACTGAACTTTAAAAAAATGCCAAAAAGAATTTTTAAAGGTTCTGCTTCAAGTCTCAACAATGTCAAAGCCATAATAATGATCGTTAGCACTTTATGTGCACAGTTTGGTTTAACTCTCACAAAAGCCTTAAGAGGCATTAATATCACTTTCCACATTTTAACAAATCAGAATAATGGCACAGAGAGATTAAGCAATTTGCCAAAAATTATTCAGCAAGTGAGCAGCAAATTCAGAATTTGAACCTAAACCTTTAGAATCCAGAGCTCATTTTCTAACATGCATGGAAACCTTGAAAACTTCCTCTCCTTAATACAGTAGTGAAATACCAATAATTTTTCTGAAAAACAAAAATGTGGGTAAAAATATTGATGTAATTAGGCTTCCCCGGAGCACAGCAGTAAAAAGAATCCGCCTGCAACGCAGGAGATGCAGGAGACGTGGATTCAATCCGTGAGTTGGGAAGATCCCCTGGAGGAGGAAACGGCAACCCACTCCAGTATTCTTGCCCGAAAAATCTCATAGACAGAGGAGCCTGGAGGGCTACAGTCCAAGGGGTTGCAGAGTCAAGACATGACTGAACAACTGAGAGTGAGCATGACTGATGTAATCACTATTCATGCAAAAGGAAAAGTCCAGAAACATCCTGTATAGTTTCTCCTAATTGGAGGAAAGCAATGAATGTTATACGTTAAAAGAAGCATGTCCAATAGGTAATCTTTTATTATGAATCAACTTCATTAATCAGAGGATGTCAAAATAATAAACTCCCCTTTATTTTTCAGAACACTTATAGGGAAAAATGTGTTACTGATTTTACAACATACAAAGGATGGATTTCCTCTAGGTATACCTGCTTGGAGGTGCACATTTTTCCTTTAAAGTTTTTGCGTATTCAAATGTGCCACAGAAAGAGTATATACATTTTCACTGATATCAACTGAATAAAACTAGATACACTAAGTACATTAAATAACTCAGATGTGAAAAATCTTATCATGCTTTACCCTTGCTCCCCTCCTTTTTTACCTAGCATATGACTTTATTTCTGGAAAATATTCCTGAAAAAGGTAGCATTGGGTGTTCAGTACGTGATTAATAATTCACTACCCCTCTGAAATTCGCTTACATACTTCCAAGTCCCTGGGAACACTGTGGGCCGCAGACCTGAGCGAGGAGGAAAGCCAGCCACCTCCAAGTCTGCCCCTTTGAGAGAATCCAGAATGTACCCTTTGCAGGCAGGCATATCAGAAAGACCATCGGATCTAAATGTAAAAAGCCTTCTAAGTAGCTGATACATACCTAATCCCATGAATGAACAACCATACAACACAAAGTTCCCCACCTTTTTTAAGCTAAATGTAATCTCCAAGGACAAAAACTTTTTTTCAAAGTTTTTCTCTTATTTTTTTAAATCAAGGGAATTCTTATCTATATTGAGACAGAAGTATTGTGTGATAAGGTGAAAATGCCAGATGTCCACATTTTCTTTCAAATGCTTAAAATTTGGTACTATAGTACTTTAAATATAATACATTTTGATCCAAAATCTTGTGTAACACTATGCTATAGTATACATAATACAAACATTTGCATATGTCATAAATAACACTAGAAATGACATCATAATAATCAGATATACTGTATCTTCATTTTTGTTTGCATTTTCCAGCTGCTGGTTTCAGAAAATTACCACTGGAGTTCCTCTCTTCTTCATGCACAACAGAGAGCAATTTGCAAAGTCATGCAAGGGTGAAAATGTGATTGAAATATAGGGATCTTTCTTAATGAAAAATGTTACTGCTTTGGAAATTATGGCTAAAACTATTTCAAAACTCATGTATATCCTTAAGCCCTATGACATAATAGTCTCCATTTATAAATATACCATAAACTGCAAATTAGTTGGCACCAAATAAAATTGGCATAAAGGTTTTTTTATCCACAGGGTTCTTGTAACTATATATTTTTATAAAATGATGTTGGTGTTTTAGAGTATTTTAAGTTAGTTTTTCTTTTTCTTGAAATAATTAAATATCAAGGTCTTTAAAACTGAATTTATTTTTCATTTGTAAAAGTGAAATTGTTACCAAAACCTTGAATCAAAGGGGAGTATCTGTTAATATTTTCTAAACTTCTAAACACATACTGTGACTGAATCTATAACTTATAACATTACTAAACTAAATGAATTTCTTTGGAGTACTGTTATTGCTTGAAGCTTTAAAAGTATGCCCAGTTTAAAAAATGGATATGGCATAAAGTATCTGTTCAAAGAAAATGCAAGTAGAATTGACTAAATTCTTACATTAATATGAAAGAAAACAAAGATGAAAACTTCAAGTAGAGGTAACACTGGTTTTTACAGTTTACCAAAGATAAAATCTTCTTTAAATGATGTTATTTATTCAGCCTTCTGTGTAACAAATATACACACATATTTTTTAAACTCAGAGATGAGAGCGTAAGAGTTTTATTATTTAATTCAAATTCAAGGGGAAAAAAAAAGTGGATAGTAGCAACAGACGGTTGATTTTCCATTTTTGTCCTACCTGGTCCATCCCAGTCATCTGTCTCAACTGCAGGTTGCCCTGGCTTCTCTGACTGCGTGTCCCCATCTGATTCTGCTGTCGCCTGGACTCCTTCATCATCACCTGGTAAACACCAACATACAGAGAGAAGGAGACGTGATTAAAGCCCTCTATTTGACGTTCAAATCCTCCTACAGGGATGTCCTTAGTATATGTCTAATTATATAATTGTTACATACATGGTCATTATAGTGAACACAGATCTATGATTAATCATTTTGATAACTATTATGGCTTTATAATAAATAAAACCAACATCAGTCATAAATAAATAAACTGCTATAAATACTAAAGACATTTCCATAAAATTTTTCATTTGGAATTATAGTATTAGACAGAAGAAGAAAATGAAAATCCGTATGTATTCTTTATACTGCTTCAATACAGAAAACTAACTTGCTTATTTCCAAATTACATTTTTATAAAGGCAAGATGCAGCAGAGAAGACATTTGTGTTTGGGTTGAAAGTGAGTTATTTTGAAGATTTTCTTTTTCTCCATCATTAAGCTTACTGAAACTTGTTTGTATTTATTTTAAAAAATGGGTATAAAAAGGTCATAACTGAATGATTATCATATAAGATGAGCCAGTCACACAAGTCTTCACAATGTAGGAAGCTATAAACCTATACTTGTTCTTGAATAAGTACAGCTGGTTTGCAAAATCAAGCCTTCATTTCACATAAAAAAGAAAAACAATGTAATATACTTTGAGCAAAATATACTTATGGCAAAGAATGAGAAACATACTAACATGATCACATTTTAAAAGCAAAAAGTCTAATTTTGTAAGTCCCTTCATTTTAAATGATACTGTAATAAAGTACTGCTGCTTTCAAGGAAAATAACTGACTTTAATACAGTGCAAACAATAATATTAAACATTCCTATTTATAAGGATAACAGAAATCAGAAAACAGAATAACAAGGAAATGTGATGTAATGACAAAAATGAAAAGAATATAAATTAAAAACGGAAACTAAACCTTGAATCTAATAATGCTAAATTTTTAAAGTCAAATTGCTTGTCCTTTGAAGCATTCAATAACTATTTTTCACACAGTTGTTAAATCACTAATATTAATAGTACTTAAATATTTATATTGTTATAAATTATACATTGAATTTTTAAAATCTTTCACAGTAACCTAGAAAATACAAAATTTTCAGGAAACAACTATTATTACAATGACAGTAGTATGATGTTAATACTAGTTTTGAAGTTTAAACTCCATAAATTTTACATTCACTTCTATATATAGTTTCACAAGAATAAATCATTTAAAAAGTAGAATAAAAGTAAAGAAATACAATGCAGAAATGCAGTGACAGCTCTGCTGAACTTAATTTGCCTAATAGAGAAGTGCTGCCTCTGGTGGGTAACAAAGAATAAAACACATACCCATACCACCAAACTCCTGCCTGGAACTGAAGGCTCTTTGAAAAGTGAGTTATCTCTTCTTTTCTGTATTATCAAAATGAAATCCTCTCCAGAAAATGTTTATTGAGCATCTACCAGGTTTAAGGAACTATGGTAGGCATAACAGGATATATATGGAAAAATACCTTTTTGAAAGGAGCATAAAACTCATTATAGAGAACAAGTTCATAAATAGTGAGAGTGCAAGACATGGTCCAAGAGCCATAAGAAATGTATGTACAAAGGCTCAGTAGTAAGGTAACAGTTTGAATCTTCTGTGCTCCATAGGTCACACAGAACACAGATGCACCAACCAACTGGGAGATCACGGTTAGAGATCAGCACTCACTTCTCAGACACAAATAGGACTGGTTCTCAGCTTATACACATGAGGAGGCTCCATGACCTTTTAGTATGTTGGGAGAATTTAAGAAACCTGAAAACTTTGTTACCACCAAGTCAGTGTCACTTAAAACAATATCCTGTACCACCAAATCTTCTGTAGTGCCTCCAGGGATGTCTGACCCAGTTTAGGGAAAGCTGAGCGCTGAAGAACTGATGCTTCTGAACTGTGGTGCTGGAGAAGACTCTTGAGAGTCCCTTGGATTGCAAGGAGATCAAACCAGTCAGTCGTAAAGGGAATCAGTCCTGAATGTTCATTGGAAGGGCTGATACTGAAGTTGAAGCTCCAATAATACTTTGGCCACCTGATGCAAAGAACTGACTCATTCAAAAAGACCCTGATGCTGGGAAAGATTGAACGCAGGAAGAGAAGGGGACGACAGAGGATGAGATGGTAGGATGGCATCACCAACTCGATGGACATGTGTTTGAGCAAGCTCCAGGAGTTGGTGATGGACAGGGAAGTCTGGCTGCTGCAGTCCATGGGGTCGTAAAGAATTGGACACAACTGAGCAATTGAAATGAACTGATACTGACTTTACTGACACTCTATTTTTCATGGGGACTATAATTCACACTAGAATCTACCACCTAGGTGAGTGACCTTTTCCTTGCTCTTCCACAGACTGAATGGAAGTTTAACTCCAGGCACTGATGCAGAGGAGTCTCCAAAGGAAAATGTCCCCCTCCACCAACAGTGAAGAGCAGAGCATCAGCCTATATATTTGAAACAACATCCATGCCTTCTAAGCATTTTCCTCATATTTTGTGATCTTGAAACAGGGATGTGAGCATCACAGAGGACTCTGGAGAACATGTAGCCCAAATGAGACAAATTTACCCATCAGGAAGGTCATGTACAGATAGGGCGACTTATCTACAGTCTTAGAGCTACAACATCTATTTCCACATAAGGCATCTCCCCTAAGAGTTCTCTGGCTTCAGCAATAAGTGCTTCCCAACCATCTCCTTTTCCCTAACAAGCAGAACAGTAGGGTTACAGGGGAGCACAGAGAGGCATCATGTAGACCACCCAAATCCATTTGTAAAAGGTTAGGAGTTAAATTTGAATCTCCTATCAGCTTGGCATTCTTTCCAAAACATCCTTTCTTGCCTCCCTACCCCCTCCCCATCCCACTAGTTGAAGAAAGGACATGTACACCTTAAAACAGTTGAATTTTAGTCACAGAGAGATGGATAAACAAGTAAGCATGAGACTACACTGTTAAAAATCACACATCCAAGGACCCAGAGAACAGAGAGTAAAATTTCCATCAGAACTACTTGGGTAAGTTAAGTATTATATTCAGTTATTATTTACATCATTCTACATACACAGAGAGAAGTAAATATTCCTGAATTTTACTGCTATATTTTACTTGTTGAAAACATTGTGCTATGCAAAATTCAATCAGTAATTAACATTGACAAGGCATATATTTGAAGATGCAATGAAATATATGAAAAAAAAAAGCTTTCTCTTAAGAACCATATAATCTAGTTAAGGAGACATGCTTCATGCATAAGAGAGGTAGCCACTGACAAAAATAAGCAGGGCAGTCCATGAATAATCCCAAGTGAGATCATATAAGATATAGAAATTCAGAGACCAAAAGCATGAAATGACATTGACCATGGAGAACCTTCTAATTAATTCTGAAGTTCTACCTTCCTGTTGAAGATGGAGAAGCATTGGGAAACTGACATGATCATGTAACACAAACACAGTAATGAACACATATTTATTTTCTATGAACACACTTTGTCAGACCTGTGGTCCTTGAGTTTTCCCTCACTCAATCTGTAATAACAATCTAACTCACATTCCAGACATCCCTTCACCCAATTTTTTGTGAGACTGAAATTAAGTCTACTCTAAAATATTGTATTTGGCAAATTACATATTTGGAAGGAAAAGTATTCAGAAACACAGTGAGAAACATGTATGTGTGGAAGAATATATTGAAGAGTAACCACAACACTTAAAAGTTAAAAGAATTGACTTAGATCTATGGATGTCTGTCTTTAATAGATAGAAGTGATATAAAGCATTCTTAGTTAACTGATTAAAAGACTACTTTTGAGTCTCTGAGCACTAAGAATATAAAACAAAGATGGTTCCTTCTCTCATACAACCTGTAGATTAGGACAGAGACAAATGTACAGGCTGCAACCTCATGCGATTAATGATCTCATGGTGACAGAAGCACAGAGGCATGACATTTAATGAAAACTTGGTGTCATGGAAGCTTCCCAGAGAAAGGCACCAATAAAATATCTGAAATTTGGAGGCATAATCTTAAATGAATCTGAACTCTGTAAGTTTCACGTCCAGGGGCTCCATGTTTCAAAACCATTTTTTTTTTTTCAGATTAAAAATGAGAACCATTTTTTGATTGGGTCATTTATTTTTCTGGAGTTGAGCTGGAGGAGTTGCTTGTATATTTTTGAGATTAATCCTTTGTCTGTTGCTTCATTTGCTATTATTTTCTCCCAATCTGAGGGCTGTCTTTTCACCTTGCTTATAGTTTCCTTTGTTGTGCAAAAGCTTTTAAGTTTCATTAGGTCCCATTTGTTTATTTTTGCTTTTGTTTCTAAAATTCTGGGATGTGGGTCATAGAGGATCCTGCTGTGATTTATGTCGGAGAGTGTTTTGCCTATGTTCTCCTCTAGGAGTTTTATAGTTTCTGGTCTTACATTTAGATCTTTAATCCATTTTGAGTTTATTTTTGTGTATGGTGTTAGAAAGTGTTCTAGTTTCATTCTTTTACAGGTGGTTGACCAGTTTTCCCAGCACCACTTGTTAAAGAGGTTGTCTTTTTTCCATTGTATATCCTTGCCTCCTTTGTCATAGATAAGGTGACCATAGGTTCGAGGATTTATCTCTGGGCTTTCTATTCTGTTCCATTGATCTATATTTCTGTCTTTGTGCCAGTACCATACTGTCTTGATGACTATGGCTTTGTAGTATAGTCTGAAGTCAGGCAGGTTGATTCCTCCAGTTCCATTCTTCTTTCTCAAGGTTACTTTGGCTATTCGAGGTTTTTTTGTATTTCCATACAAATTGTGAAATTATTTGTTCTAGTTCTGTGAAAAATACCGTTGGTAGTTTGATAGGGATTGCATTGAATCTATAGATTGCTTTGGGTAGTATAGCCATTTTGACAATATTGATTCTTCCAATCCATAAACACGGTATATCAAAAAATGGGCCAAAGAACTAAACAGACATTGCTCCAAGG